CCAATCTAGACGCGCTTTTCCGAAAATGCTTTTAACGGAAAACTTTTCCGTTAAAAGCATTTCCGGAAAATCCTGCCAGTGTAGACGTAGCCTGCGTGTCCGTAAGTACCTGCAGTGCTTTCCACCGCTGCAAAGCTGCACAAAGGGTGGAATCCCACTCCCCTGGACTCACTGGTGCTTGCGAGGTGCTGGCTCTGGATCTCCCTGTGGAGACCAGCATGTCTCAGCTTGGGGGTCCCGACCCGAGAGGGGGGTTGCAGGGAGGCCGCAATGTTCTTCAGTGGGATTGTGGGATCGCTGCCCTTACATCTGCGCCCTTCCGAGCTGGGGGGCAGAAAGTGGCAGCTGCTGGCCACAGGCAGCAGCAGCAAAGTAAGAGTGGCAACAGCACCCCAGGCCATTCGTCCTGCTGTGCCGCAGCTGGCGGGGGCTCGGCCAGCGCGGGGATCCCAGCCAGCCAGCCCCGGTCTCCAGCTGCCCAGCCCTAAATGCAGCAGCGCTGCCAGCAGTACAGAAGGAAGGGGAGTGATTCGGGAGCAGCACAGAAGGAAGGGGAGCGATTCGGGAGCAGCGCAGAAGGAAGGGGAGCGATTCGGGGGCAGCGCAGAAGGAAGGGGAGCGGTTCCCCTACAGTACCTTTACAGCCGCCCTAAGTACACAGGGTTTCAGGCTGTTCTGTTTGCAATCCTGCCTGGGGACATTCGGCTTTTGTAGCCAGTGCCTTGCCGCACTCTGCAGGAGGACCTGCTGCATCATGAGCCTGTCGCTTTGGCCAGGAACTCCACAGCTAGGCCCCTTCGTCTCAGCGGGGCCGGGGCAGCCCACAGTGGGTTCCATGACGACTTTTCCCCATGACACGCAGGTGATCCCTGGCAGTGAAATTCTCAGGACGTGGCCTTGTGGCTCCCTGTGATAGTGAGGGCTAGTGGTTAAGGCACAGGCCTGCTTTTAGTCCTGGCTTGCCACTGGTTTGCTCTGTGCCCGAGAGCGAGTCACTCTCCCTCTATGGGACTCCACACCCCCATCTGTAAAACAGGAGTCCATCCCCCAGGGCTGTGGGGGCGGCTGCTCACAGGGCACATGGGGGTGATGCTGCACAGGGGGGTTGAACCGTCCCCTGCCCCCAGCGTCGAGGGCTTCCAATTCCAGCTCTCCCTGCAGAGCAGCCCAGAGCTCCGCACCCGCCCTAAGCGCCCCTCTCCCCAATGCACAGATCCTTGCCAGCTGCCCCTGGCCCACCCTGGCCTCCAACATTGTGTCCCCCCTGCTGACGGAGGCCACCATCGCCCTGCTGGAGGAGTGTCTGGAGAAGAAGGAGCGTGGCACCTGGAAGAGCCTGGGCAAGGCCTGGCACACGACGAGGTGAGGGAACCCTTGGGTCTGGGGTGGCCAGTAGGAGCCTGAAAGCCCTCGCCCTGGGACCCAAGGGCGCCACCTTCCCCTTCAGTGGCAGCCTGGGCTTTGCGTGCTGCCCAGCCTCGCTAGGCCTGAGAGGGGCGCACCGGAGACCGGCACAGCCAGCTCCTCCCAAACGGGCCTCAGACACCGAACAACATCGGCCCTTACCAGCCTGCGCCAGAGCTCAGCAGCAGTGTTCTAATTGTCCCCCGCCACGTGCAGAATGATTGTATATGCGCCCAGGCGTGTGCAAATGTGCACCACCACGAGCTCCACAAACCCTCGCTGGGGGCACTCTGCTAACCAGCAGGGTGGCAGTGGACTAGCCCACAAACGGGCCTCAGACACCGAACAACATCGGCCCTTACCAGCCTGCGCCAGAGCTCAGCAGCAGTGTTCTAATTGTCCCCCGCCACGTGCAGAATGATTGTATATGCGCCCAGGCGTGTGCAAATGTGCACCACCACGAGCTCCACAAACCCTCGCTGGGGGCACTCTGCTAACCAGCAGGGTGGCAGTGGACTAGCCCACAGAATGCCCGGCTGACGGGGCGCACTGAGCGGTGGGGTTGTAAGAAACTGGTCCCGCACGCATTCACCGAGCTTTCTGGCACCTCCCCCTCGCCCTGGCCCGTGGACCCTCCTTCCCAGGCCGGACCTTGAGCTGGGCCCCGGGACCTGTTCTTTGCTCCTGCAGCCTGCTTGCTGTCAGGGCTCAGGGCAGCCCCCGCCCCACCCGCCCCGCACAGCCGCCACTGGCCAAGGGGGACAGGTCA